GCCGATCCTATCCGAATTTTCCGATTTTGGAACAAGTTTTTCATTCCAATTTCGATTTTTTTAACGGAATTGAAACTCGTTTTGCACTTCTGAAAAAATCAGAATTTATCCGAAATGGCTTATTCTGATCTGATCCGTCTGATTTACACCCCTATTCATACCAATAAGCAATGTTGTCATTGAACCAAGAAAATTTTCAATATATATAATAATATTATCAATAATGATAAATAAATAAATAAATGTTAAAATGTTAGGGGCAAGTGGGGTTGTTTGATTGTCTAGACAATCAAAGTGTATTTTGCTTTAAAAAGGCATGCTTGTAGGGTGTGCAACAATGTGTGACCCACCCCCCCAAAACCCCATCATCAAAAAATCATCCAAAACCTATTCCCCTAACTTCATCTTTTGTTTCTCAATATTAATTAATAATCATATATCTCAAAGTTTTATTTATTTATTTATTTATTTATTGTAAGTAAATGTGACTTGTCTATGAGAAATGCCTTAAAAATAATTTCAAGCCGACAATAATCTTCCCTCGAGTTCAGTTCAGTTTCCCACTTTCTTTTGATTCCTAGATTTTGCCCATGTTTTCCACTTTAGTTATACATACATACAGATACTTATATATATACATATATATATATATATGGTTGATGATATAAAAACTGTGGCCAATAAGCAAAGCTGCAGGTTTGTGCTCCCTCTCTCTCTCTCTCTCTCTCTCTCTCTCTCTCTCTCTCTCTCTCTCTCTCTCTCTCTCTCTCTCTCATCATTTATGTCACTTTCTCTCACATCATTTAGTTACTTAGAAATTTATGTATTGTCTTCTTGGAGTGCTGAAAATGGTGAGTAAATTTTATGTTGATATTGATTTGATCATTTTTTATTTTTATTTTTTGGATTTCATAAAATTCTCAGAACATAGAATAGAAGAATTCTGTAAATATCAACAAGAATGGGGAGTGATGCAGCATCGGAATTATTTTCGATTACGGCCCCTCGAAAGTGTTCGAATTATAATGAAATATTCATGCAGCACAGTATGCAGTTTGCAGATAGCTTGAAGGTTCCATTTTTTTAATTTATTTATTGCTAATTAATATTTACTTATATGGTGTTTTATTGGCTGATTATATTTTTTATTATTATTTGTATTTTTTATGGTAGGATTTGAAGAATTTGAGGGAACAGTTATATTCAGCTGCAGAGTATTTTGAGTCATCCTATGAAAAAGATGATCATCAACAATTGTATGTGTGTGTTTTTCTCATTTATGCATTTGTCTTTTTTTTTTTCTTTTTTTTTATATGTAATAATGTTGTGTGTGCAGTGTGATAGAATCGTCGAAAGATTATGTGGCGAAAGCACTTGTTAGCACGGTGGACCATTTGGGGTCGGTGGCCGATAAACTGAACAAGTTCGTCGACGAAAAGGCTAATGAATTCTCCACAACAAACATTCGATTCTCTTGCATTGAACAGGTAACAAATCTAAGTTCTTGCAATAAGTAGTTTCTTGAAAACATTGATAATGTAATAAGAAAGTACTCTCTCTGCTTTTGTATGGATGGCATTTTAGAGATTAAACACATTCCGAGGATTTATCGACTTGAGGGGCGTTTCACAGAAGTCGTTGATAGAAGCTCCGAAGCATTATAAGCAGTACATAATTCCGGGTAATTACGCTCTTCTCTGTCCCTTCTTTTATTATCTATTACTCGGGGATTTAAATCTTTATCGAATCAAATAACGTATTGTTGTTCCGGAAATAATGTACGTTTGATCGGAATTGTTTTCTTCAGATGCAAAGAGTTTCCCCATTGGCAAATCGAATCAAATGCATCAACCCAAGCAAGGTAATTTTTTTTCTTCTATTTATTTCTTTTTCTTTTCGCTTCCTCCGAATTCTTGTGGGACGAACATTCTTAGATATCTTTGTTGTTCTTGATTCTCGAGACGTGAATTGTTTTTTGAATTTGCGCAACTCATGAGCTATTTTTCGTCTTCCGTGAAAATCTGGATAAAAATTGCGGTTTTCCATGTCATGAGTAATTTGCAATGCAACGTAGATTCTTGAACAAATGAGTATGGTTTCAAAGTTGCCGATTAACGTTTTGAACGAAGTCACTCTTGTGCAGATAATTCGTCTGCTAAAGCTTTTCAAGCAGCGAGAATAAAGCCGCAATCACCACTGTTAAGGTACATTACGCCACGAACGAAAATAGCGCATCAATTTCGGTTCTGTCGCATAAATTCAGCCTAATATATGCAATGATGTTTATAATACAGAAAAGGAACTTCAAGAATTTCTTCAAGTGGATCATCTCCAAATCCTGCCAACTTTTCTTTCACAAGGGTCATATCTAACAAAGAAGCAGGTTAGTATATATATACCAATATACCATATCGACTATCATAAATCGAGTCCGAACGAACTCTTAACATTTTTTTTTCTCACACTAATTATTTTATTAATTCAATTAAAACAGGGAAGCGTTCGGTTTCGCCATTTAGTTTCCCTTTGAAGAGGTCGGGATCGGTTGCTAGTAGATCAGTGTCTCCTAGCCCCTCCACCAACAAACACCGTGTAAGCAATGAATGATTATATATGTTTTATTTATTTGTTTTTAAAGAACGAGCGTGTACTAATTACGAGAAATGTACTTGAATGTAACTACAGAGTCCATCAGAGCCTCGAAGAGGAATATTCTCTGCGCAAAATAAACACGAGATGGTGAGTAGTAGGGAAAGAGAGATTGAATCTTATACGAAGAGAAGTAAGCATCTCTTCAAAGCTTTACTCAGCATTCATCGGTCGAGAAAAGATAACCGTACGGTACACATGATTTAGGGCTGTGAAATGAAAAAATGTACAGTTCTCTCTCTCCCAAGTAGACTTGATTCTCTAATACATATACATCATCAGCAAACTGTGGCTTGGCATTTCAGATATTCTTTTACAATTTTGTTTTTTCTATTCTATTGAAAGGTATATGAATATAATCGTTGGGTTGAAGAAGTACGCTTCGTTTTCTGGCCACAAGTATTTAAAAAATCCGAACTTATTATTCATTCTGACTCGTTCGATATTAACATTACCAATCAAACTTAAAGTCATGACCGTAGAAAAGCAACCAACTCCGAGGCCAAAACTAAATGACGCAACTGAGAAGTTATTTTATGTATGGCATTTTTATAACTGTTGCAAAGAAACGAGTAAGAACTTCAAGCGAAGTTCCATGGGCCTGGACTCAGAACTTGAATCTACATACATACATGCTACATACTCTAAGTCTCATTCTGTCATACATATGAGAATTAAAAAAAGTATGATCGTTTACGAATTTGAGCACTGCAAAACAACTTACTAGTAAATTTGTTTGGGAGGGCTGCGAGCTCAAACGAGAACAACCTGGAGAAGAATCTCGTCTCTAGAAGATTACAACACGGGTTATCTCCGGTTCTTTTCAAAATCCAAGATCAAAACTGGGAAACTCGTCCCTTTCATTTATATGGAAACCCTGGTCGAGAATTTTGTCTAGATCGTTAGATTTACAATCTTTCGAGGCCACAGCATTAGGACTAGAAGCCGTGTCAAGGCATGTCGAACTGCTTCCGATTTTGCCTTCCAAGACCTAGCAAGAAGAAACATCTTTGTTATTGTTAGAACCAAACTTAGAAGAAGATCATTTTCATCTTTATTTGATCAAACGACTAGTCTTTATATTACCTCTTTATTTTTCTATCTAATTTTCTCAAGGGTTAATGGCCGTATTCCAGTTCTTTATTTAGTCGTGTACAGATTGGACAAGTGTATAATCGCCTAGTTAAGTTAAAACAGTAGGGCTAAAAGTGAAACCACCAAAAAAAAATGGAGTCTAATTAACATATTCAGGTTGTTGCCAAATTCACCTTGGGTAATTTACTGAAGCTCAAACCATGTGTTGCTGCATCATTTGATTCAGTCATGATCTCTGCAAGATAACAATATATTAAAACATCAGAAACAATCAGGCAAATGGTGTGAAGGTAATGGAAGTAACTGGTCTTCACACGAACCAATTTCAGGGGAATTTTCAGGCTCCTCGTTTTCGTTTGATCGGCTGAGAGTAGCTGATTCAATGGGCTTTTGGCCCACACCGTCCGATGCAGTAGTCTCGTATCCTGAAACTGTGCACTTCTCATCAGCTGCAACAAAGACTTTAACATCTTCAGGTTCTGAGGCTTTTCCTCTCAGTTCGTCCGGTGAACTTCGACTGCACTCCTCAGCGTACTCCGTTTTACGACCCTTGACATCAGAAGGAACATGCGAAGAGTGTGATTCAAGGCAGTCCTCCACCTTTACCTGAATTAGTTTGTCCATTTTGACAACCTTTTTTTGAATTGGTTGTTTGAGAATGGACAAGATGTCATGAACTGTCGTAGAATAAAAGAAATCAGTTTCCAGTTGTAGCAAAAAGGAAGCATATACAAGAAAAGCTGCACACAAATGGTCTAAAATGAAATAAATAATTAAATATGGATGTTACAAAAGAACGTATGTGTAATATCCCATGCAAATACTCGTAACGATTTTTTAATATTGTTTACTCCATCTAAAAGGAATTAAAAAAAAAAACTCAAAAATAAATCATGACATGATGGACGGTATAGAATATACCTATAGGGGGTGGATGGTTGCTCTATTATCCAAAACTAGAACGAGTGACTCTAAAAGTACGTATACGAGCTAAGGTTTCCGAACATGCTATCATGACTGTCTTAAGTCGGACATACGGTGCATATTAGATCCAGTTTAATTTAGATCACTTTCTCGATTCATGTCTTGGTCCTATCAAGCCTCATTATTTCAATAAATTATCAAATAATTACTTAAACATTTATCTGTGCTATTTTGACGCTAAATAGGGTAAGTGAATGTTCTTTTCTCAAATGGTAAACTGGTGAAGAAACAAGTGAAATCCATAGATAAAAGTATAATTCAATTGAAATACCATAAAATAATCATTTCAGTCGACACAGGCTGAGCTGCACGGATAAAGGTACAATTTAGGTGAGATACCATAAAATTTATCATTTCCATCTGCAGAAGCTGTCTCAGATAATACAGCAGATAGGTGATTCTTCAATGATAAATAGAGATGAAAATTTCAAGAGATTCTCAACAGAGTCAGAAAACAGAGTATATTTCTATTTGTTAAATTTCCAATAATCTAGAAAAACATCATGAGAGATTACAAGTCATAACAGCATAATTAAGTCGAAATTTAGCAGAGTGCCTAAAAACATTGATATCAAACCAAGAGCAAAACTGATTTAAGTTTTATTATGCAGCTGACTTAACCAAGATAGTAAGATCAAATTCGCAAATCTCTCATATCACCTTTAGCTGCTAGTTTCTATTACCAGTAACCAAATTCCTATCATGTGCCTTGTGCAACTCGTATACTGAGTAAGGAAATCTCGGAGTTATGCTTAAATGTATATTTCCATCCAAAAGATAGGACCTCTTCCACCTGGTCCACATGGATTTCCATTATATATAAGTTTGCTAATGCTTTCAGACCAAAAGATCTCTTACCAGCACGTCTAGGCTCGTTTGCAGGTCTGCTCCAACTTAATTGGTCATTTTCGATCTTGGGGCTTGAATCACTAAGGGTAGTAAGTTTCTTTGGAGAGGTCTTGTCTGGATATTTACCTTCACATGCAAGCAAATACATGTTGTGAAAAGGAGAGATTGAATATTCCATAACAATGAGAGCAAATTTCCCTATTAATAACTGCAGAAGAGAGGACTGGAACAGTTGCTAATTTCATTTCACCAGCAAAATGCATTTTGAAGTGACTTGCACCAAATTGTTATTAAATATGAAGATTCAGTTCTTGCCATAAACGACAGCAAGAGAAAATTTGGAACGTATACAATTATTGGGACAAAGAAAACCTATTATAGCCCCTTCACTAAAATGGTACAAAAATCGAACAATAAAAATGTTAATATGATGCGTGGAGAAAAGGAGGATGCGTAGCTAACGACAACAGCAACTTTAGTTGTTATTAAAGTAACAGGTAACTTGAATTAGTGACCATTGTCAAGAAAAAAAAAATATTTAAGTTACAAGATCACCATGGAGAACGAAATCTGGCATTCTAAGAATTTAATACAAGTAGGTATGTAAGGTAAAAGACCTCTTAGTGCTGCCAAATGGTGCTAGGTATTCGTCAATTGCTAAATCATCCAAAGATTTGACATATGAAGACATTAAACAGAGAACTTCATTGAAATAAAGCTAAGACAGGAACTCAAACTACATTAATAAAACACAATGTGAATGTTCAAAAAAAAAAAGATATAACAATATATGTACCCCCAACACAGGATTATTAGATGATCAAGAGAGGAAATACCAGCAGAAAATTTCTTATTTGTTGGGATTCTGGCTTGATGATCAGCTATATCAGTTTTCACAATTACGTTGCAGTTCTTAACCTCAAGGATTGAGTCAGTTACCGGTTTATGATCTCCTTCCTCTTCTCCAATCTCTACTAGATAACCCTCAAATGGCAGTGATTCACCAGAGCGAACTATTTCATCTTTTTTCAAAAACCTGCTATCCAAGTGTCTCTTGTTTATGTCATACAACTTAACCTGGATGAAAGTAAATTAAACATCGGATTGAGATAAAATTGAGTAAACTGCTGCCTTCAAGCAGTTACTTTTGATACTGATTTCGTGTGTCCAGGATAATAGCGCACATATGGAAGTTTACTATTTTGATAGTGTGATTTTCAGATTATGTTAAAAAGAAAGCATGTATCACCATATGTGGGCGAAATTAACTTTCTGTAAAGGTGTTCATCATGTTTGACAAGATTACATAGATGGAGAAAAACTATCAACTTGTTACAGATGTTAGTACCTGCCTCCCTTGTGATCCACGAACTACAAGTTGTACAAATCCATCATGAAATTTCTTCGCCTTTTGTGTTATATGTGTCGTGTACAATACCTGCCACTCTTATTACAGAAGCAAAAAACTGCTAAATATTCATAAAAGACTATCTGTCAATAGTATCTGGTGCTTTATAAAAATGCAATAAAAATCAGATCATTTCAGAAAAATCTAATAGGAAAGTACCGATATTGCTTTCAGATGCATGGGTTAAGCTTAAAACTCACCTGTTGTACTGGTTCGTATTGTATCTACACATATTGGTTGAGAGACACACTTGTTCATTTCACTCTTCTTGAAGTCTAAAAGTTCAGAACAGGTTGTAAGTCTCTTCACTATTAGATGCAAAGAGTTTAGTCATACTTTGTAAATAAACCAGTCGAGTTGATTAACAAACCTCGAATGATTTTCTGCGACGGACTTAAGTTGATCGCTTGTACTTTACTCTTCCCAAATGTTGGCCTTTTATCTTTCAATGACAAATAAACTCTGGAGTTATTTGACAGAAGAGTGTATGCGTCGACTAAGGCAAATCCCGGAAACCAACTTTCATTAAACAAAGAAAAGGAATATAAACATCAAAGCAGTGGAAGTGAAATACTCTGGTTACTGTAGCTGTACAATGGACCTGGTTTCTCTGAAACTTTCGTGTCTTTTTCTTGACAATTCGCAGTAGATGTAGGTTTTTGGCGACCACATAGTTCACCAATGTCGACAAGATAGGAACCGAAGGACAGAGATTCACCAGATCTGATAACATCATCTTTCTTCACAAACCTACTTTCCAGAATCTTATCCCATTCGTCATATAGCATAACCTTTCATGATTAAAGAAGTTAGAAACGATTATAAACGGCAGAAGTCTTCCGATTATGAACCAAACATCCACAAACCAATTACTTATCATGGCTGATACTATTGCAAAGTCCTAAAACTTTTGATTAATGACTCAAGTTATGATCTCTCAGCAGTTATTCAGGCAGAGAAAAGTAACGACCTAAATAAAAACCCGAGTTGAATATACTACACTTGATGTGATAAGACTAATTATCGAGCAATATCTGGAATTCTAGTTACAAAAATCACAATAATTCAATTGGGAGTATCAAACTTTTATCTACAACACTTATCGGAAGAAATATAGCAATCATTCATCAAAATGGTGTGATTTGTGCTTGAAAGTAATAAATCAATCAAATTGTCTACAGCAGAGAATTCAATAAGGTACACAACAGTAAATGAAAAACATGCATTTCGACTGAGAAAATAAGCCTAGAAATATGCATTTTAACTAGTTATTTCCAGCAATATCGGCTCTGACAGATATATATACACACGAGCACCCAGTGCAAGAGAGAAGACATTTTTAGTGAACACACAAATCAAATTTAACAATTCGATGTAAATTTCGCGAAAATATCAGCAACTTCGGCCGAATGTTTGCTCGAATTACTGCAAATACTCAGCTTAATAGTAAGTTGTCGTCTATAATCGACAACAACTAACATTTTCTATGCTCAAACTTCAAATCCAGACCAAAAAAAATGGGAAAAAAAACACCCTGCAAATTGTCGATTATAATTTAGAAACAAATCCAGAAATTAACATCTCCTATTAGCGTATACCTCTCGAATTAGGAACATTAGATACATTCATAAATTGTATGTATATATGTATGTATATGAAGGAGAGGAAGAGGAGGAAAAACCTTATTGCGGGAGGATGGAAGCTCCAGAAAACCATCTTGATAAACTTTACGCTTCTGCCTAACGTGCTTGGTGTACATCACGCTCCACCGCTGGGCATCCTCCATTGCTAACGCCGAATTGGTGCTTCGTCTGCTTATATAAATCGATTTAACAGAAAAAAAAAATTATGATTCAAAAATTAGGGAACGGAGATAGCATTTGTGATTTGAAAAGGAATCGCACGAAATCAACACCCGATAGGAGAGGGGTTGATGTGCAAGTGGCGGGAACTCAAATTTTTTTACACTCTCTCTTCTCACTTTATTTATCTCTCTATTTATATTTATCTGCACCTTTATATATCTGTATCTACAATTTAGGGGTAGTTCATCAAATTATAATAATTTTCTAGCCTCAAGTTTGTACTGATTACACATGTAGTCCATTATGTTCACAAAAATCGTATTTGGTCCCTCATGTTTTAAAAATTCAACACTTTTAGTCATTTCCGTCAATTTTTCGTTACTACTAACGGAATCAAGCGTGTCCACATCATTTCTGTCGAACTAATGGTGAATTGACGAAAAGAACCAAAACTGTTAAATTATTGAAAACGAGGAATCAAATGTGTTTTTTTATGAACATTGGGATTAATGTGAGACGAGTGAAAACTGTAGATATCCCAAATTCAAAATGTAATATCATTTTCAATAAAGGTGCCTTTATTTTTTGTTATCTATAAAAATCACTTACTCTTCCATTTTACAAAAGGTAATTTCACAATAATTTATAAGCTAAACATCACTAAAAATAGTGCAAAAAAAGTTCTCCACTACTAATTCATATTAATACAATTTAGAAAAAAATAACACTGCTAGTTTTGAAATTTTCATTATTAAAAATTAGTAGGCAATTTTTTTTTACAAAAAAGCACTTAATTTAGAATTAACTTTTTTTTTGGTTAATATGGTGACACAATAGTTTGAATAATTGAAGTTAATGGATACTCATAGGTATACAAATATTGAATGGTGTGGTGTTGGTATTTCAATTCAATTTCTTAGAGACTTATGAGGCATGAAATGATAATGTTATGGTATTGCACTTTCTAAGAATATTCGGGCAGATGTTATTCTTTAACGAAGATTTGAAGCTCCGTCCGGGTGAAATCGTAAATAAGAAGCCAACGCAAGATCAATCGTAAAACGATAACGTAACGGACGGACGACCAACAAGATATTAACCAAATACATTATTCCTCTCTGAGTTCTCAACTATTCATTCTCCTTCCAAAAACAATCGACGCACATCCAAGTTTTCAAGATTACACACAAGTAGTTCCATGTATACATATATATATTTATATATATCCGAATCTTAAAATCGAGCACAACGAAAGAACTGGACAACAATTCGTATAACGGGAAGCAACATCTACCTCATAGTTCAAACTCGTCTTCAAGCTTCAACTGCTCAGCTGCAGCCTCCTCTTCTTCATCGTCAATAACAAAATACGGGTTGTGCGCCTCGGGTCTGAACTTGTACCCCGTGAACACGTAGAAAGCCAATGTGGCCAATTCCCCGGCAACAACACTAGTCCACAGGTACTTGTACGAAGTAATTGTTTCCAATGCATAAACCACGACCCTCGTAAAGTAAATATAGCATATCACCACAATGTAGTAGTGCCTGAACAGAGTCAGCTTCATCAAATTCACCGCAGCTTTTCCGTCGGTTTTTGCCGCCTCCCGCAGGTTCTTGATCGACCAGACGATAGGGAAGAGCACCGCGCAGCAACATATGACATCGACTAGCAAGAAAACTTGTTTCCATGTGACCCAATCCTGACCGAAGGGGCCCGTTTCATCGATTACGACCTGCGCGATATTTGCAACTACCTGAAGTGGAATTACGATCATCAGAACTTTTTTTTCCTTGTCCTGCAAGTAGGGTTTCAAGAAGGACCACCCGGTACCAATCAGAACGATTAAAGTGAAGAGAGTGACTCCCTTTAAGAAGCTGAATATGTAGAACAACACATCCCAGCCATGGGCCGATCCGGTGTGTTTGATGTAGGATTTGTCCTCCGCCTCGCAGAGTAAATTGGCCGCCTTTAGAAGGACGACGCCCAACATGAAGAAGTGGATACCGTAAATGGTGAGCCTCTTCTTGTACAGGATGGAGATCCAGAGGGCGGCGATCGAGAAATACACGACGGAGAAGAGGAAGTAAAGCTTAGGGAGAGCCGTCTTGCCGGCGGAGAGATAGTCGCGGCGGTTGGACTTTCCGTCCTCGAGGTTGTACATGGCGGAGCGGACGTTCATGGAGACCTTGAGCTGCGAGAGGCAGTTGGCGAAGACGAGCGTGTACTGATCGGCGACGGACTCGGCGTATAGGAAATTTACGTCAGCGGTGGTGAGGTCGGGGAGGCGGTCGAAGGTGAAGACCTTGTGTACGACGTCGGATACGAGGGCGCAGTTGATCTCGGCGTCCTCGATCTGCTGGAGCACGTGGAGCCACGCGTCACGCGTGCAGAGGAAGAACCCTACCTTGGAGAGCGCCGGCAGGTCAGGGGTGGTCCCCGATAGGGAGAGGCGGGTGATGTTGAGCTCCAACTGGCCGCGGTGGGTAAAACCGAACTCGTCGAAGGGGATGATAGGGCGGGCGTCGGATCGGATTTCCGAGACGCGGATCTCAGCGGCGGCGAGTGAGGCGAGTGAGAGGAGGATTAACAGGACGGAAGTGGTCGACATGGTGTCGGATCTCTCTCTCCTCTTCTTTCTCACTCTGATTGGGGAAAAAAATGAACAAACAAATTGAGAGAATGAATTCAGCAATGTTTGTTTGTCTTTCTCGACGGGAAATATAACAAATTTCAGATCATATATTCGTTACCTAATACATGCAAACTAAAGTAGAGGACTCTAATACTTTACATTCAAATTTGTCGGAAAGACAGGAGCAATATGATACAAAGGAAATTCTTCGAAAGAATAAATACGAAGTAAAACACAAAGATAGGAAGAAAACGAATTCACTAGAACGATAGAAAACTGTAAAAAAAGAAATGATACGGCATTTGGTGAAAACAAATTTGCAGGCAAAGCCGCTGAAGAGCTGCATAAAAACAAATAGCTCGTTTCGATCGATGAAGCTGTGTAGCAACTATCGAGCTTGTGTAACAACCATGATCAACTAATTTTTCCTTTAAAAGGGAGATGCAAATTTCGTCAATTACGTACAGTTAATTATCGGCTCAAGTGTGATCGAAAACATATTAGCTAACCAAAATCTAGTTTCACTGTTTCAGAACCCTTATCAATTCATCTTCCACAAAGTCAACTGAATACAAACAATACACTTTACTAAAAATCTGTACTTGTATGATTTTCCGTTTAATATTTCACTAAAATCAACACCAAAGGCAAACTATTATTTATATTTGGCACTGTATCATCATCCTCAAATATATATATATTTTTTTAATTTCATCAATCTGATATTTGCCTATCGAGTGTCGACTGCAGATTCAAATGAATTTTACAATAAATTTCAGGCTGGGTAATTTACACACAGCTTCAATCCCACCGACAGTTTTCAATTTCTAAGCATCAATCAATTGAAGAAAAACACGAAATCGAAATTCATTTCGAACAGTAAAGAAGAAAAGAAAAAAGACCTGTTGAGATATAGAGTGATGGCAGTCTTGTAATTAAACCAATTGCTCTGCTCCTTCGATTTCAGCAAAACCTGGAACAGTGGATTTGATTGCTCTTCTACTCGGAGATTTCCGCCTGCTCCTTCACGATTTGTTTCTTCTTTGGGGAAGAAACGTTTTGATTTGTGTTCCGAAAGGAATCTGAATAAATCGGGAAATGTACAGTTTTCACCCCTCCAGTTTGTAATGATTTCGCATTTGGTCCCCTATGTTCACAAAAAACACATTTGGTCCCTCATGTTTCAGTAATTTGACATTTTTGGTCATTTCCGTCAATTTACCGTTAGTAGTGATGGGCACTAGGCACATATTTGATTCCATAGTTTTAACGGAAATGACTAAAAATGTTGATTTTTTAAACATGAGAGACCAAATGTGTTTTTGGTTAATATGGGAAACCAAATGTAAAGTCGATGCAAACTTGAGGGGTGAAAACTGTATTTATCCCGAATAAATCAAACTCTTGGGCCTCACTATCATCGTTTTTACCCTGGAGGCCCAAAGCTCTCAATTATTTTTTCCGGAAAATACAATTTTCACCCCTCAAGTTTGCATCAATTCCATATTTGGTCCATATGTTCATCTAAAACACATTTGGTCCATCATGTTTCAAAAAATTCAATATTTTTAGTCATTTCTGTCAATTTTCTGTTAAAAATAACAGAATCAAATTGTGTTTCCATCGCTAGCGTAACTGACGGACTAGGATAAATCGACAAAAATGACAAAAAATATTAAATTATTAAAACAAGGGATCAAATTTATTTTTCTGTGAACAGAAAGAACCAAGTGTAAAATTATTACAAACTTGAGGGAAAGAAAACTGTAAATTTGCCATTCCTTTTCAGTTCGAATATGAAACGGCCAAACGGGTATATCTATATTGAGTTTAGGGACTTTAAGTTCAAATTGGACACAAATTAAATTCGATTATTCTTCAAAAATATATTTTTATTTCTTTTAATATAATTATATTTAAGAATTCTTCTTTGAATATTTTTTTAATTACCAAACGAGTTTAATACATCTAATGGATCTATCTATTTTGAATTAGATGAACTTGAGTCGACTCGACTCAGTCATTCATAACTGTTTTTGGAGGAAGTTATTTTTAATTTGGTTGTACTCGATGATTAAGAAATAATCGATGCTAATTGATGCTAATTTTTATATATATAAAATGGTTTTTCTTATTTACAATTAATTTGAATGAGTTTGATTTATTTGGAATATAAAAAAGTTAAATGTTCCTTTTTTTTAAGGGGTAATATGTCATGAGCCCTTCAAACGAAACGTAATTTGAATGAATGACAAGTTCAAATCCAATCTTTTAATTAAATTCTTAGTTTGAAATAATATATAAGTCACATCTCTAATTTCTTTTTGATTTCTATCTTGCCCTTATACCCTAAATCTTATAACCTATACATTCACGTTTCTTCAATTCAGATTTATTTTTCATCTTTTTATTTTTTTTCACTCTCTCACGTTCTCTCTCCCTCTCCATCTCTCTCCCTCTCTCTCTCTCTCTCTCTCTCTCTCTCTCTCTCTCTCTCTCTCTCTCTCTCTCTCTCTCTCTCACACACACACACACACTTTTTCTCTCTATCTCCCTTTATGTCATCTCTCTATCTCTCTTTTTTTATCCAGTAGAACCACAAAAGCCGTCGCCAGCAGTGGCAGTAGAGCAACCAGAAGCAGCAGTGGCGGAAGAAGTCGTGGTGGACGTGGCGACGGTGGGTAGGGTCATGGTGGACGCGGTGACGGTGGGTGGGGTCGTAGTGGAGGCGGCGACTGCAGGGGGGCTGTGCGGCGGAGGATTGTGGTTATAGTTGTGATGTTATTGAAAGCATATTTTGAATGGCGGTGGTGGGGTATGATAGTGGTGTTAGGGCGGATCTAGGGTTGGTGGGGGCAAGATCTAGGGTTTGGTGAGACAAATCTAAGTTTTTTCGATTTTGATGTCTATAGATGTCTGTGAGTGTCTATGAGTGTCTGGCAGCTAGGGTTCTAAGGAGGATTTAGGATTTCAAGATATCTGTGGGTGACTACGGATTAATACGGTTCCTACGGGTGTCTGCAGATGACTACGACCGGAAAAAAAAATTAAAAAATCACAATTTTCAATATTATGTTGAAAAGAAGATAAAAAAAATAGATTCTTACAGTAATGAAAAAAAACAAAAAGAGAAACGTATTCTACATAAAAAAATAAAATAATAAAAATGCTAGATGCAATTAAAAATGTTAAATAATACTATAGTACACCATAGTACATGATAAAATATTTATAATCTGATGTAATTTCGAATTTGTGAGTGGACGGACATTTTTGGAATGAATTTTGATAAAAGGATGTGAAACAAATTTTAATTAGGCTTGTCATTTAGTTCTAATAACGTTTGTACAATGGGCTTATATCTTAAGACCCATTTTTTTAAATTAAATACCGTTGTCATGGACTTATTTGCCATTTACCCCTCTCTCTCTCTCTCTCTCTCTCTCTCTCTCTCTCTCTCTCTCTCTCTCTCTCTCTCTCTCTCTCTCTCTCTCTCTATATATATATATATATATATATATATAATTTAATTTATATAATTTAATAAAAATATACAAATTTCTATTTATTTTGCTCTATATTTTCGAAAAAAACTCTTAAAAATTTCCGGTGGCTCTACCCCCGAACCCTGTAAAACTTTAGCCCACCCTTACCGAAAATCCTGGCTCCGCCACTATGTATGCTTGTTAACTTTAAAAAAATAAATTCTCAAATAATTAAAAATAAAAAATTCCTTCAAACATAATTTGACTGTATTAGTTAATTATGTAAAACACGTGCTCGCTAAAAAAATAAGAAACATTATTTATTTTTCAAATGATTCTTACAAAATATTTTTTATCACCACCTTTAAATATAATTTGACTGCAACCGCATTTTATTTTTCCTTTCAATATAAACAAACTTTTTTTTTTTATTTCTCCAAAATATCTTTCTCAATACAAAATGGAAATAAGGTCTAAAACACTTCCAAACATTGTCAGAAGAGATTATACCCAATAAATTTTTTTCTTAACCCTAATACACGTACATGGATGTTTCTGATTTTGTTCTTTCTAAGTAAATTGACTAATTTATACCTTTTCTTTTTTGTTATAGATGGGTTTATAATTAAATTAGAGTTTTTGATACGATGTTTAATGAGGTAAGTTTTTGTTTACGTGTATTTATATGTAAATAAAAAATGTAAATAAAAAAAATTAAAAACCCAGGTCGAACGAAGTTAAACAGATCCCACCATGACCCGAATGTCCATCCGATTTTCTGTTGGGTCTGATTCTGACAACATTGTAAATACCCCTATTTATACTCCAAGTTATCTAAATTTGTTTCTTCTTCTGAAATCGAATTAAAATCAACCTTATACAGAACTTCGTATGAAATTAAAAAGGAAAATAACAAATGAGAGAACCCAAGTCAAAGTCTTTGTTGATTGAAATATCTCCGACACTATCAATCAAGACTTTTTGGGCAGAATTCCAAAACTGAAATGATTTGTGCAGCCACAATTTAATTGTGCAGGCACTTTTTTTACCATTCTTGAAAAAACAAAAGGTAAATTTCCACAAAAACTCTCTCAAGCTTTTGTACTTCGATTTCAGATCCCGATCGAGACGATAACAGATCGGAGGTAATTCTTATATTTTTTTGATTGTTTCGTTACGTAGATTACGATTATTGAATTTTTTTTTAAAACGAAGCATTTTGTTTTACTCGCGTGATTCTACACGAGTACAGCGGAGTTACTCGTGTAGAACCACGCGAGTAGATGAATGTAATTTTTTTTTATTTTTTTTTATTTTTTATTTTTTTAAATTCGTATGTTTTTTATTGAAAAAAAATTGAGGTCGTGTGTTATTATGCGAACAGAGGGTTTGTGCTCGTGTGAAACCACGCGAGCTCAGTTTATCGAGCTCGCATAAAATCACACGAGCTTAAAATTTTTTTTTTTTTTTTTGGCTGCTCGTGTGAAAACACGCGAGGAGATCTATTTTACTCGCGTGCCTGCACGCGAGTAAAATTGGTCTACTCGCGTGTTTTCACATGAGCAACTTTATTTTTTTCTTTTTTT